ATCGTATGAGTGACCATGAAATAAACCACATAATTGTCATCCACCCCGTACACCATATGCATCCTATGATTTACCCAAGAGAGTGTCTTGGGACCTTAAAGCCTACCCTAGGTAACCTTAGGTCCGTAAGGAATTACCAACTTGATCAGATCTGAACCTCTATACTCCAGCCTACATAGATAATGTCTCAATAAAACAGTTCAAGTAGTAACCAGTAAATCCCATGATCCATAAATCAAGAACAATTATATTTTCCAGTGAAAACAAGATATCATAAAACACATATCATGTAGTCGTAGTTCATAAACAGTATATCAAAACATCAGTAAATTCGTAATTTCGGAAAATCACGTTTTAAATAAGGAAAAACATTTGCATATCACATAAGGAACACACTAGAGGATCTATTATTTCTTTGGAGGTATTTGGTATTTATCAAGTATGGTACCATTGACTTTTTGTAAATTGATAGGATTTCAGAATCTAGATCATATATTATTTGGGTATTTTTTGGAGGCACTAAGTAGTCAGGAAGGTACTCAGAATCTTTTGCATCAAAGTTACTTAAGATTTCAACCATGTCAAGAGTGATTCCATTATTCCGACAAACAGAAGTATTTCAGACATTTTGATTCTTGGACGATTCTCAGTAATTTAACTCAATAAGGGTAGAGAAATGATTATGGTAATTAAAGTTCATGTTGATTTATCAGGATATCGAGTCAACTCGAATTGAACAAATCCTAGCACTGTGATACATGTCAACCAGTCAAACCGATACACTTCAAGGATATTCACACTTTAATACTGACATCAATAGCTGAACTGATCATGATCATCTTCTGAATCATTGTTGAATGGATCTTAAGAAGACAAACATGTATTCCCTCCCCAGTATTGATTGCACTAATTAAACGAACCTCCTTTATAATCAACATTAATCGAATCTTTACATGATGAACAAATATTTTGGTGATGTTTAATTTATTCATGAATTGCAACAATATCCACTTATTTTAAGTCATTATAGAAACGAACCGCTTCAACAGTCGAGGTTAATTCAATCATCTTAGACTTCAAGGTATTATGTTTCCTTTAGAGTTCAAAGTATTTTGGTCATTTGAATATTGAAGGTTATTTTAGTTATTTCGCAGCTTGAAGGCATTTCGGTAATTCTGATCAATTCAAACATATGTACATTTTTTCTGGTAATTTGGTTAGATATAACCGTTCAACGTTATTTTTCATTTTTAGGGGTAATCCTGGTCTTTTAGCAGTGCAAGAGCATTTTGGTCAAATTACAATTCAAGGGTATTCCAGTTATTTCCTTCCGTCCAGTCTTTCCATTTAATTCAATTTTTCTGAATAATTCAAATATGAATAGTACTTCCAATATTTTAGTCTTTAGATGCTTGCTGATAAATCAAAAATTATAGGTCATGTACCTTCACGAATGTTAGGATCCGATTAACAATGACTATCCGAGCAGATCAGGAATTTAACAGATGAAACATTGATTTATCAAATTAAAATATGAATTCTCAAGGTATTTTCGCTCTCAGGTCAGTCCGGGCCATTTTTACCTCATAGGGGTAATTTCATAATTTTATACTCAGGTAATTTCAATATTAAAGCTTTTAGCGATGATAAATATAATTTAGTGATTTTGAGGTTATTTGCTCTTCAGAGTAACCACTGTACTTGAAATCATTTCTTATATTTCTTCCAATTCCTTTATGTAATTCAATTGAGTCTTAACCAATTTATCACTTAAACCATATTCGGTTCGAGTCCATCCATAACCAAACATGCATAAAAGACCAATCATATACATCCATGCATTTATCCATTATCAACATGTTCCATATAACATGTAAAGAGGTAGTAAAGTATTACCTCGATTTTTGTACTCGATTGATCGAACATTTAAACTCCATTCGATCACTCTCGAACTTGAATCCAAAATCCAATATTTTCACGGATACAAAGCAAACGAATTTACGTCAGAAACTGAACTTAATCGAAAAATCATATTGAATCTAAAGATAAAACACTGAAAAACAACTTACCGAGTGCGAATTTGGCAAAATAGACTTTGAATTCGGATTCAGGATGTCGAAAAACATAAAATATAACTTTTCAAAAATTTTAACTTTTCAGTCAAAGTCAATGGGTTGACTCAGACTAGTCAAATAGAACCGGTTTAGACCGGGTTGGTCGGTTCGGCCCGGTCCAGACCGTTCAAGAAGAAACCAGAGCTGAGGGACGAGCCCCACGTGTGTACGACGGTGAGTGTGGACAAATATAAGCTCGAGGTAATCAGTTGATTACTCCACAAGCAGCTAAACACCATTATCAAGCCATAATCAACTCAACATCAGCCAAAACCCATCAGAAATAAAAAGAAAAAGGCTGAAACGCTTACCCACATCGACGATCGACGAAAATGATGATGATGGGCGAAAACCAGGTCAAGTTTTGGTCGCACGGAGCTGGGAAACTTGATGGGAAGGGTAGTGAGACGAGACGGTCTTCGGATCGACCGAAATTTGTAATAAATCAAGACGTGACCCAAGTTTCTCCGGCTATCTTTGAACGGCTCCCGACGGCTAACAATAGCTTCTCTCGACGAATTATAAAAGGGGTTTTGCTCGTCCTGAGACGTCGTTTTCACTAGAATGAGCGGTGATATGTACTGTCAGTCGGAGGAGGGAGAATCGACGAAGGATAACGCGAATGGTTTCTCCCTTATTCTTCATAAACGACCGTCGATCCGGGTACACTAGGGGTCGGGGTTGGTTCGCAGGACACCACCGATTCTGCTGATGACGTGGGTGGCCGCTACAAATGGCCGGAGTGTAGTGGTCGGCGGTGGGGGTTGTTTTTGGGGAAAATAGGTTTAGGGATTATGGTTTACTTGCTTGATCAGGGGTTTATTTTCCATTAACTAAAAAGGTTTAATTCAAGGTTAAGTCCCCGAACTTTCCACAGGTTCTAAAACCAAGCTATAACTTTTAAAAATTTATAATTTGGTCCTCAACTTTCTTTTAATTAAATTTTGGGGTGTTACAGTATTGATATTTATTTTAAAAAAAGTTTGATACTTTGCAATCTACTCATTTCCTATGTTTTTTTAATTCGAAAGTATTGATATTTGTGGAAAAATATTGAAACTTTGCAACCTTATCATTTTCTATGCTTTTTTTTAATTTGAAATTATCGATATTATTGGAAAATTATTTATACTTTGTAGCCTTCTCATTTTCATTTTTTTTAAATTCGAAAGTATCTATACTTGTGAAAAAATATCAATACTTACCAATTAGATAAGTTAGTCGTTTTCGCTATTGTAATTAATATATTCGGAATAAGTCAACATTTATAGTCGCGCTAAACTGATTTTGTTAGAGTTCTTTTTAGATTTTCGACTGTGTTATTTTTTAGCCTTATATTAATATGTTTTTCCTTAAACAATCCGGGGGAAAGATATTGAAGGAAATGATTTAATTGCCGATTTGGATTTGGGTGTTGCTTGTAGAGGATGAGAGTCGAAGAGATGAGCTTTAAATGCGAAATTAGAAAATTTGGGGTTTGGCCTAAATACTTTAAATAAAAAAAATTAATAATTTATTTTAAATTAAGATAAAATTAATAAAATATACACATTTTGAGAATTATTATATTAGGTCACATCACTTTCGGTGAAGTCAATAATTTAGTCTTCATTTTAAATGCAATACTCGTTAATTCTGTTACGAACTTGGAATCTTCAATATAATAAAAATATAATATTAAATTAAACAACAAAATAATAGTGCTGGCCTATTCTCCTCCGGGTACTTTAAAAGAATCTAAAATGTCATGTCATCCATATATCCAAAAACAGATGTAAGGAAGCAAAAATTGTAGTGTGTGTTTATATATAAATCTAAATTGTAGTGGGTCGTTATGAAATTTAGTAAGGTTTATCATTATTAGATTCAAATTCTATTATACGTAAAAATCATGTATAGGTGTTGGTCTACATTTATTTAGATTTTTTGTAAATTTATTTTGATTTAGTTAAAAAATATATTATTTTTTCTCAACACTTTTTGTTTCTAATATATATATATATATATATATATACATATAATTGATCTGACGACTTTCTCTATTAGGTTTTTTTTAACCTAATTTTTTTTAATATTTTTGTGTCCCCTTCCTTTTTTTTATTTTTATTTAACCTACGACTGCATCAATTTTAATGTCAGTTATTGAAGGTGGATGATTATTAATTTTCTTTTTTTTTATATTATGTAATTTGTTTTCTTTTTTTCTTGAATTTTTCTTTTTAATTTTGAATAAGAATATTTGTCATTGTGACAATTTTTTTGTGACACGTTTCTTATGACTTTTGATACATTTTTCGCATACATTTATATTTATTTTGGTCCTCGCATAAAGAAGCTCACAATATTTTTTTTGATTGGTTTGTTGGAGGTCACATATAGTTAAATCTCATCTTTGGTAAAATATTATATGCTGATATCATCAGAATTGTGTAATGAAGAAATCTGCTAGATAGTTTGGTCCGCTATACTTCGCTCACAACTCCTTTATCACTTCGTAAAACTTCTTGTTTGACAAAGACAATGAACTTTTATAAAAGTTACCGACTTCTTTTGATGTTGAACGTCATTTTTAAGGGAATGCTTCATTTCTCTTCGTATATTTCGGTTTAATATTTTTGTTTCGTATGAGATTTTTTTAAAGATTATTCCCCATTTTTTCTTCGTACTTCAATGTGTTGTAATTTTAATTCATACCATTATTTTTAATAATGAAATCTAGTTTTGATTGTTAACAATATTTAGATATATATATATTTTACATGATTTATATTTAACATTTATGATCATATTTTAAACAATATTATATCGAAAGTTGAAAATAAAATTTATAATTAAAAGAATACAATCTAAGTTATCACAGAAATGTTTAATATTTCACTTAAAACCCAAAACCTTTTTAACTCCCAAACTCTGCTTTCTTCGATGCACTTGTCTTCTTCACATCCAACATCACTTTCTTTCTTAATGTACCTCTCTCTCTCTCTCTTTCTCTCTCCATTGGTGGTCCTCCATTTCTTCCTCTTTATATCCCTCTTCCCCCTTCCTCCATTTCTTCATCTCTCCTATCTAACATTGCTCCCTTTTTCATGTTTTCTTCTCAAACCCACAACATTTTCCCTCCCCCTCCATTTGCATTTCTACCTTGGTGAATACACTGACCCCCCAAGTCTCATTTCCGTCTTCATTTCGACGATGTCGAACCGACGGTCATCGAGGCAGTCTGCCGTAGGCGTTTCCGGGATTTCCGACGATCAAATCATTGAACTTGTCTCCAAGTTAAGGCAGCTTCTTCCGGAGATTCGCAGTAGCCGATCTGACAAGGTACTTTTAAATGCTTTTTTCTTCTTCTTTGAATTGAAGTGAAGAAAAAGAAGTTGAGTTATTACCTGCATGTGAACAGAAACTGGAAAAGAAAATTAAAGGTCTGACAACGTATGTACTACTTCCGCTGGTGCATTTACCCCATGGGAATAGTTTGTTCCAGTTAGAATAATATTAGTCTTTGAAAACACAGTCTGCAAATTTGACCCCCCAATGTCCAGGAAATGTTTGACCTTTCCTTGTCACAACAAAGTTATAAATTAACCATCATGACATGACACGGTGAATTGTCATATAACTCAATTATTTTACTTTGTAATGACATTTAGTTACTTCATATGTGATTTTTCCTTAACTGGTGCAGGTAGCAGCATCCAAGGTATTACAAGAGACATGCAACTACATTAAGAACTTGCAGAAGGAGGTGGATGATCTAAGTGAGCGTCTCTCTCAGCTCTTGGCTACCATTGATGCCGACAGTGCGGAGGCTGCTATAATTAGGAGTTTACTTATGGAATAAATAAACCAACTTATTTTTATAATAGGATTCGGTCACTAGACCAAACATAAACTAGGTTATATTTTAAGACGCATGTGCACTGTAATTACTAAGTATTATAAGATGACTTGCACTAGCAAAGCCTTTGATTGTAATGGTAAACTCATCTCCAATTTAGAAGAATATCGATTATGAGTATGTTTAAACCTTTTCATATAAATAAAAAAATATCATAATATCCATGTTTGAATTTATATTAAAATATAACTATTATATCATCATAAATTTAATTATTTATGTATATAATATATAAATATAAATTATTTTTAAGTGGATAATAATGTTAGTTGTTTGTTGGGATGAGCATGGGTTGGGTTGGGTTGGATTTTTGGTCCACCCGACCCGACCAGAGAACAATGACTCCTCCACCCGAAATACGACCCGATCCATATGAAACAAGATTTCACCCAATCCAAACCCGGTCCGATATATAATTTAAAAACCCGACCCGACCTGATTAAACTTTACTCTTTGATTAGTTTGGTAGAACTAATTAGTTAGTTTAAGAACAAAATTTACAATAGACTAATCGATGGCTTCTTGCTTTTAAACTTTAATTAGTAACCTAAGCAAGTATTATAATATTAAATCAAAAGAAAAGCACTAAAATAAGATGAAGAATTGTTATGCACTAAACAAGTATCATAAACTTTAAATTTGATTCAATTATATATATTTAAATCAAAACAAAATCAACAAAGCCAAAAATCATGAAAAGAAGTACTTACCTTACTAAAAATTGAAGTTCTACTTTTAAATTTTGGTTGGTTTGTTGTCGATTACTGGGTATTTACCCTAGAAGAAGAATCGATGAAAGTGTGAAAAAGAATGAGTTTTTTTATGGTTGAGAATGAATAACAAGTTGTAAGATTTAATCTTGAGTAGGAAATGGGTAAGAATTTGTGAGAAAAAGAATTAGGGTAAGAGTTTCAGACAATTCTACACATACAATCTTGAATCGGGGGAGATAAGATTATAAAGGGAAAGTAAAAAAAATATAAATAAATAAATAAATAAAATATTACATTAAGTACCTGTGTCGGGTCGGGTAGGGTCTTTTAACCCTAAGCTTGACTCCGACCCGAACCCGAACTTTTTTTTTTTTTTTTAAAAATTGATCCGATCTGATCGGGTCGGGAACTCATAGGGTATGGGTCTCATGCCCATCCCTAGTTGTTTGTGAAAATTTAACCAAAATGAATAAAATTATAGAAAAACAAATTTAACCTAATCAAAAGTTAATGAATAAAATTTAAACAAATTTACTAAAGTTCATATACAATTTTAAGATTTATCGCTTTGTTTATATTTTTCAATCGAATCATCATAGTTTATATTTTATTTATAAATTGAATATAAATATTTTATTCATATAAATTAATTTTTAGAAAATTAAAAATTTTAACTATTTGTTTGATGAAAAAAAATAATTATATAGGAAAAAAAATCATTCTCAACTGGTATGATAAACACATTACCTCAATTTGAACTTCACATGTATAAAAAAGAATTATCTTATTAAATTTAATTATAAATTCATTTATTAATATTTGTATAATTTTATAATTGAATTAAAAAAATTAAAGTTTTAATAAATAATAATTTGAAAAGGTCATATTAATATATAATTTTTAATGGTTTTCAAGAAATTTAAATTTTGAATATTTTTCTGTAGTAGTAAAGAAGAAGAAAATTAAGTTGGAGTTTTAGGTCACAATTGCATGCATGTGGGGGCAATGATCAAAGAAGAAGAAGAAATAATAAAAATATAAAATAAAATAAAGGCAAAGTCTTTTTAAGCAATTGGGTTTATATCTCAAGGAATGAAAATTAATGAAATGAACTAAACACAACAAAAGTCAGCCCAAAAGCTCCCTAGAAATTTTAGGTCCTCGGACTTGTCTTCCCATTTCTACTTTTATTGGGCTTTTACACTTTTTGATGGTTTTTATTTTAAATTTTTTGGATGTTAACAAAATGACAGTTTATCAATAATTAAACAAAAAGGTTGCTGCAATTTTATAATTTTAAGGTGAACACGTTATGTATTATAGATGCATATTTATTTTATGAATTAGATAATAATATATTATTATAGATAAATTTAAATATTGTTTTAGATTTTATGATATCATATCATCTGGTTTATTGATAGCAATAAAATAATCTTTAATAAAATATATTATCAACCTTTAATTAAATGATGAATTTGTCTCAATAGATAGTACTTTTGAATTTTAACTTTCCTAAATTTGATCCTTTTGCTCCCACTTGTAACCGCCTGATTGTAAAAATTAGGGAATCAAATGATACATCTATCATCATCTGGTCGGATGACTAAATTTATTGAATTGAATTAAAATTATTATTAAATTAATAAAATTTATAAAAAATAAGAACCAAATATATTATTATATATAAATTTAATTAATTGCAATATCAATATTTTCGTTGATTACAATGACTTAATTAATATTATTTAATAGTTAAATGATTTAATTAATAAAATTTATTCATAGTTTGGTGATTAAAATAGAACCACCCCAAATAGTTTAGTGAAAATATATTCTTTCGTCTCATAACTAACGACCCCCTAGATAATTCTAAAGCCTATTCTCTCCTTTCTACATTACCCTTATCTTATCTCTCTCCCCAGAGAAAGAAAATGACCTTTTCCATGGAAATTGCAAAGCGTCGAGTATGAACAATGGCTGTTATCTGAATCATCAGTTGGCTTTTATCTCATTGAAGAAGAAGCCTTGCTCAAGATAATGTACCACGGCGGCTACACTGCTGAAATTACAAGCTTATCTCCAAAAGCTACGGAGAAGGATGTTGTTGACTTTTTCGCCTATTGTGGTTCAATCCAGCAGGTTGTAATTATCAGGTAGGTACACTTTTGCTATATCTTTCATGATTTTGTTCAGAATTTATTGGTTCTTCGAGGACGGCAAAAAGTTAAAAGCTATGAAGTCCTTTTGTCTGAAATGATTCCTTGTGTTGGATAATTCAAAATCTCAATCTTATATGTATGGAAAGCAAATTAATCTCTTTGAGTAGAATTATCGAGGCTATGATTCCCATGATTTGTAAACATGTAGAGTTCTAATCATAATCAAGACTTTCTTTCGTCTGAAACGTTTTCCTGTTGGATACTGTTCAAAGATGTATGAGTAATATAGCTTACCAACAAGTGCGTGTTTCCTTGCTTGTGGCATATTTCTTGAACTAATGAGAGTTTAGCTTACCCTAATCAAGATGTGATTAGTTTATGAACAAAACAATCTTTATAAGAAACGCCTTGATTTGATGTTAGTGGATGAACATTTAGCATATAAATTGATCATTCTTTTAAATCTATCGATCAGTATGGGTCGATTCTGATACCAATAGTGATGTGGTTTCTGGTATGTTTATGTCAATCTCGTGCAATTGTGTCATATCTGCTTTGAGTGATCTTTTTTGAGCTGTTATTTCTTCAAATTCATGCTCTTTTCACCGCAAACAGATGCGGGGATGACGCTTGTACAGCATATGTGACATTTGAAGATCCACATTCGCTGCAGACTGCGCTTTTACTCGGTGTAAGCTCTGATCCATAGTTTTGTTTTTGATCATTTTCTTTCCTCTAGCATCATTTTGGTTTTCATATGTAACCATATCGTCCTATGTACATCAAATGTATGAAGTATGATCAGTACTGATCTAACCCATAATCCAGTTTCCATGCAAGGCTGCAACACATTTGATGTATATTCGTCTAGTTTCCTCAATTTGTGTGTGAAATATATAGGTTCTAGACTCCTAGTACTTTCATTAAGTCATGCTTAAGAGATTTAGCACATACCTGGTCTTTTTTAATCACGGAACTCAGCTTCATGTCACTTTGGCCTATAAACTGAAAACTGGTAATAATGATACCGAGTTGGTCGACTGCACTTTGTATTTCTCGAAAGGCAAGCGCTCTTGCTTCTCGAAAAAAATGTATGACCGGTAAAATAGAATGTATAGTTACTTATAACAGAAGATAAATATTTGCATCCTAATCCATATCAAAACATAACATAAGCATGTCGAAATTATGAATGTAGATGTTGATCTAATTGATTTTTTGAGGAAATCGTGAATTTTGGTATGGAAATCTTGCAAACACGACTTCATCCTTTTAATCATTGTGAAGGCAATCTCTCAATTTTGATGTATCAGGGAGCTACAATCGTTGATCAGTCTGTATGCATATCAAGGTGGGGATCGTACATAGACGATGCATATCCTTTGGATGGTTCGACATGGATGCCTCGAGACAATACTGGCTCAACGGTACGTATGAATTAACTAGGAACTATCAACACGTTTGGAATCATTGTGGTGCCTGTGCTCTGCATCAGTCTTGCTTGCTGTTGTGCAGTAAAATAGAGCATGGGAACATTTTCTGCATTTGTATGACCAAAACCAAATTTGTAGTTCGAGTTGCTCTCTATAAATTCATCAATGTAATCATCAATCATCCCAACAGGTTACTCGTGTGGACCAATTTGTTTCGACGCCCGGAGAAGCTGTAACTGTTGTCAAAACGATGATGAGGAAGGGATATGTTATGGGCAAAGATGCCGTTATGAAGGCCAAAGAGCTGGACGAATCCTATCGGCTCTCAGCTATTGCAGCAGCCAAAGTCGCTGAGCTTAGCAATAGAATCGGCCTTACCGAAGACATCAACACCAGCATGGAAACCATAAAATATGTGGATGAGAAGTATCATGTTTCGGACATCACCAAGTCCGTTGCATTAGTTACCGGGACAGCAGCCCTAATGGCGGCGTCTATTACCGGGAGAACTGCAGTAGCTGCTGCTAACGCTGTAGTCAATAGCAGCTACTTCTCCAAGGGGGCGCTTTGGGTTTCCGATAAGTTGAAATGTGCTGCTCAAGCTGCCGCCGATTTTGTTAGCCATGAAAATACTTGAACAAAAGCGTAAAGTTCGTTATTTGCATAAGAGTAACAATATGTCTTTTATTATGCGAGATTTTTGAGCGGTCATTTGATTTGATGCATAAATTCATGCAATACTGTAACATGTCTGAAAAAGAACATGTAAAACATTTTGTGTGGAATCTGGATTTTGCTATGTCTAAAATATAACATATTGAATACAAATTGATTCAAACTAAATATATAACAAATTGATATTTGGGTAATATATTGTATTCTAAACTTAGTTGTTCCTTGAACTTTAAACCTCAAAATTCTGAAACCATGAATCTTTAAGATTTTGAAGTAAATTTTAATCAAATTTCAATCTTTTCCCCATATAAATTCATTTCGATTCAATTACAACCTAAACCTTAATTTAGTTTGTCCATTTCACTTGTTTTCAAACAAAGAAGATTGTTCACCGGATGTATGGTGGACTTTTCAGTCATCTAAAGTTTCATATTTGCACTTTAAAAAGTTGTGTAAATTGGTTAGGAAAACCCATGAAGAAAATGAAAAGAAAAGGAAAGGAAAGGGCACATGGAAAAGAATGCACGTGGAGAAGATTCATTGTGTTTTCTTTATTTATTTCTCATATTTATAAGGCAAAAGGGTCTATTATAGGGGTAAAGGTGACCTTTTGTCTATTAATAAATATTGGGGGTGAAGGCAACAAACTATTACATGGATCCACCCTAAACTTCTAACCAAACCACGTGGAGTTCTTATTGTGGACCATAGAGCAATACATTGCAGGATTCATTCTTTTAAAGAGAAAAAAAATTAAATAATAAAAAAACTTAATGCATGAATTGATCCTTGAAGTCTATTGCTTTTTCCACTTCGGTCCTTCAACCTTTTTGGGCACCTAACATTATTATTATTTTTCTATATTAATCCCTATGGTTACCAATATTATTTAAAAAGATGGACTCCTGGTGCCTCTTAGAACGCGTCACGTGGTAAATCTAATAAAAAAATGATCAAAGTAGAAAATGTATATAGTTTAGGGACCGAATTAAGTATCAAGCCTTAAATAAATCTATATATATATACTTAAATATATTAAAAATTATCCCTTTGATTTTTACTGACATTAATATGTTTTTGGCCATTGTTGACTAGGTTGACTATCTATTGATCTAGTGTTGATAAATCATTTACTAATTTTTTTATTATTTTAGCCGTCTTATTTTTTTAGAAACTATACATATTTTTTAAAAAAAATTAGTATTTCGAACTTTTAAATTTTTAGAATTTGAATTTCTAAATTTAGTAGAAAATTTTAAAAAAATAATTTTCAAAAATTATAAATTGAAATTCTAAGAAATTGAATAATTCAAAAATAATTTTTAAATTTTTATTTAAATTTTTACTTAATGCATGCTTTGATCTTAAAACTATATTCATTTTCCCACTTTAATCCTTTTACTTTTGATTGGAGGCGTCTTATGGTACATTTTAATAAGAGTCGCGTCAATTCTTTTTAATAGCAATGATAACGACAATGACTAATATGGAAAAAAAAAATAACAACATTAGATTCTGATTTGGTGGAAAATAATTAAAATATTGAAGTGGGAAAAACAATTTACTTTAAGATATTAGTTCATGTATTGAACCTAAAAAACTTCAAATATCCCCACAGTCACAACACACAGAAGAGTTGGGAAGTAGGGTCTCGGCCTTTGGTGGGTGTCTAAAATCTTGAGAATTAGATAAGAATCTAAGATTTGAAGAGTGAAAGGCCAACATATGATTTCCCCATCAATGGCACATATTATCCAACATATGTTTTGGACTATACTCGTATAACCATGAGTTGAATGTTCTACCAATGGAACAAGAGGAACCTTATGCGGGGGCAAATTGTCTCTCATTTCCTTTTTCATAAATTTATCTATAAAAGAAACAATCATGTAAATATGTCTAATAATTCTAGATACTGTTTGGAATACATAATAATCATAAATATAAATTTAATTTTTGAATTTTTATAATGATATATCAATTAGGTATTATATGTTTAGTTACATGCTTAATATAAGAAATTATCATGCTTATTATTAGTGAAATTAATAAACTATATAAACGAGTTTGATTGAGTAACAATTAGGCTTCAATCTTTTGAATGTAATCTGAAGCTAATCGCTAAGTATTATATGGATAATAAGATATGATGTTATTAAATACTTAACTCTCCCCATAGGATTTCTTTCATTAAAAATTGAATGTTAAGCCTCCAGTTCTATCTGTAACTTATGTAAGAAGCAAACATAATCATTAACTCAGTAATACAATTCTTTAACAATAGTGTTCAACATTCAATAAAAATGACCAATTTAGAACCAAATCATCAACAACTTAATGGCCAATGATAATAGAAGAACATCAACAACGAATGAAGAATATGATTATGATAAACTAGATTCAGATATGAGATATGATATATTCATCGACAACGGTAATAATAAAGATGATAGAAGGCTCTCGATGATTGAAGAAACAAAGCTCAGTAAAGAATAAAACTTATCAGTGATGGAGAAAATATAATAAAAATAGACAATTGCTCGATGAACATACGAACGAAATAACAATAGTATCAACAATGAACGAAATAATAAGCTCTGATACCATGTGAAATGGGGCCGTTTACACTCGAATGTGATGATCGACAATGATTGATGATAATATACAGAGAAAAGAACAATCGAACAATTAAAATTTTGTGAAAACTAAATAGAATTAAACCTAATTTTAATAAAATGATATTGATTATTAAAATCAAGTTGATAGCCCAATACAATGTATATACTTATATATTTCATTCTTGAACAAATTATAATAACGAGCCTATAAATTAGCTAGCAACTTAATAGTCTTGTATAACATATTACTATCATAACAAACAAAGATCCATTAATTTGTCAAGTGACCAAGAATTAATACGCATATTGTCCAACATTATATAGATTTGAATTTGAATTTTTATTTCGAAAATGTAATTCCTCCTTACTTGAACAAAAAATATTATAACAAACGGGCTATTGCTCATTTCTAACAATATTAAACACATATATTTTGAAGTAAAAAAAGTTAAAGAAAATCAGAATAACATAACATGAAAGGAAAAGAATCTTAATGGTTGATCAAATAACGCCAATTGATCTTTGAGTTTTGATAAAAGTTACAAACATTTGTTGTATTTTTTGGTGGGGGTCAGATTATTGCTTTAGTAAAATAATTATCTTTAATTTGATCGAATTAACATTTCAAACCTCAAAAATTATTTTTTTCATTTAAATTTTATCTCACTTGAAAATCATATAGTCATATATTTTTAATTATACAATTAAAATCAAATAATGACAATATAAATTAAGATCTAATTATAAGATTTAAGTTTTGAACGTGACTTTTCATCTACTTAAAAGTAAAAAAATAGTATATATAACGAAACATATATATCACATAGGGATAACAATAAAATAAAAAAACCACCCAAAAAAGATAGATGGATACATCATATACATAGACTATTATCTTCGAGTTATTCCTCATACTATAATATCATAAACTAGACGTCGAACTACATTTGTCCACCAACACAATAAAATCTTTCTCATTGATTCAAGTAATTGAAAATGTAGCATTTATTACATTAAATTAATTTTGATTTTTGATCGAAATTGTGAATTTTAATATTCGTCTTTCTAATCTAAATATCAAGGATTCAGATGATATTAATATCTGGAAAGAAACTGAGTTATTCAGGCATACTTGAACTAATCCGATCTGTTTTGTTCAGTGTTGCTAACTATTAGTGCAGGCAACTAATTCTGTCCCAATCTATCATCAACAAGATTGAACAACTTTGTTCACGGTTTTTCTAGAAAGAAGCTGATAAAGGTGTTGCTGGAGCCAGAGTAAGCTGAGAGAAAATCTGTCAATCGAAATCTGAAGGAAGGCTAGGATCGAAGAATATAAAATCCTGGAACAAAGCTTGTCTAACGAATCTTATCAGAAATATCCTTGCGAGTGAAGGTCCTTTATGGGTAGCTTGGCTTAAAAGCTATGTTTTGAAGGAGAATGACTTTTGGCATTTGAAAGGCGGAGCTAATGTTAGTTGGTGCTTAAACAAAATTATTAAATTGAAGACAAAAGCTCTTCCTATCCTTTCATCCGGAGCTAAGCAGATCAGTGAAATTTGGGAAGAGGTACGGGTGAAAGGGGAAAAAGTATCATGGCATAAACTGATTTGGTTTCCTCTACATATTCCAAAACATACTATGATTGCTTGGATGACTCTCTTGGACAGACTTTCAACAAGGGACAGACTTCAAAGAATGGGGATTGTAACTGATGTAATTATGTTATCTGCAGCAAAGCACTGGAGACAAGGGACCACTTGTTCTTACAGTTCCCCTTAGTTGTTTCATTATGGGATTCATTTTTCTCCTTCACGGTTTGAGGAGTACCACTTTGTCAATGGGGGGATATGTTATCATGGGCTTGTGGTGCTTGGTAAGGTAAGTCCCTTCTTACAACTATTTTGAAGCTAGCTTGGCGTGCATATATCTATATCCTGTGGGAGGAAAGAAACCGAAGAATGTTCCAAGGCTGCTCCAGAACAACTAAAGAGATTCTTAAAGTTATTAAGGAGATTGTAGGTATTCAATTAACGAAAAGAAATATTAACAGACTAGATAGTGCTAATATTAATCTTTGTAATTTTTGGGGTATAGTCTAACCGATCATTTGATTTTGTAAGTAGTTTGTTCATATGGGTTTAGGTTGGTGATTGGTTTTTTGTAGTAGAACACCACTCTTTTAGGTAATAAAATTTGAATTATCAAAAAAAAATATTAATACCTCAATAATCTAGTTGCTATCTACTATAGATATATAATTAATGCGGATACTAAATTCGATTATTATTATTTTTTATTGACAAGTAATTTTATTATTAATGCAACCAGTTTAATTATTAGTCTCATTAAAAACCTCCATAAAATTACGGAAGGAAAAAAGTATATATAACCGGCAAGTAAAAGATTACAAGGACATCTAACAAACCTCAGACATCTAAGTTCTGACAGCATCAATGGACAAAACCAAAGTAGCCACAAAACGGCAGCTTAGGACATATAACTCAACACTAATTTGATTAAAAATTATTAAAATAATATTATTTTAAAATATAATTAATGTTATTATAATAAAATTTAATCTTTTTCATATTTTTATATAATGTTTAAATAAAAAAATATTATCTAAAAATCATGCATACACGTAAATAAAAATAAAAAAATCAATAAATTTATATAAAATTCTCTTATCACAACATCATCACTAATAATTATCCATTAAAATAACTTTTACAAATATTTTATTTAATATTTGTTTTGATCGGCAATGCTCAAAATTTAGGGTGAAACCATATAATTGAGTAGCATCTGTTGCACAAGTGAAAATAATTCTAAGTTTGTAGTGATAAATTATTGTGTTTGGAGTTTAAACTGTGTGACGTATCTCCTCCCAAAATTTATATAGGAAGACAAAAATTCCACGCCTCTGGTTTTAACTCTGCATGTCTCTAATTTTTACCCTAAAAATTGCTTTTCAGACCCTCCGAACCCCATTACTGCCCCTCCAATGTCTTCTTCTTATAATCTGTCATATGAGAGAGTAAGTCCAATATAATTCATACCCCACTGTCTCTTCCTTTAACCCTTTCAGATTCCAAGTGCATGAATGAATTGAGTTTTCGCCATTGAAATGGCCTTCCCTCCTCATCCTTTCATGTTTCAGACCCTCCATCAAGATCAAAACCGCGACCATCTTCCTTCCCCTTATTCCCTCGATTCCTTCCTTTCTTCCCCTCCTCAACTCTTCCATGGTATGTCTCTTGATCCATCTTTTTTTTTATGATTTCGATATGTGTGTGTTTATGTGTCTTTCCCTCAGGTGTTGGAAAGCTCGAGAAAGTGTTGCATATTGGCCATGGAAATGGAGATGATGAATTGTCTAACGATGGGTCGCATCACGGGGAGAAGAAGAAGAAGAGGCTCAACACGGAACAAGTGAGGGCTTTAGAAAAGAGTTTTGAGCTGGGAAACAAGCTTGATCCTGACAGAAAATTGCAGTTGGCTAAGGAAATAGGGTTAAAACCAAGACAGATAGCGATCTGGTTTCAAAATAGGAGAGCCAGATGTAAGAACAAGCAACTGGAGAAAGATTTTGATGCGTTGAAGAAGCAGTTTGAAGCAATCAAAGCTGACAACCATGCCCTTAAAGCTCAGAACATCAAACTTACCACTGAGGTAATTAAGTTAATAGGGTTCTTAAATAAGATCTTCACCTTCATATGCCCTAATCAACTTTAACATCGATCGTTATTCGTATTTAGTGTTTTGATCAGGAGTGATTTATGACATTTAATTCTTTGATTTCTAAGATTAAAAAATGTTCATCAAATTCATCAAAGTCCTTATTTTAATGTTTTTGCTACATCAGTTGATCAAAAATCTAAAGTGCCAGTGTCAGAAAGCAGCAAGTAGACATAGTTGCAGATGTTTTTTAATCATCTATGACATTAATTAATTCTCTGCAATCGAATTATAATATCATTTGTTACATCTATGACCGCAATCTAAATCTGGGTTTGATTTTTCTTTTTCTTGTTGGTGTAGTTATTGTCTTTGAAGAACAGAGATTCATATGAAAGCCGAATCAAGAACGAAAACGAGGGTTCATGTAGCAATGGAAGCGGAGACAGCCGTGATGTGAACTTAGATATCTCAAGAACAACATTGAGGGCTTCGTCCATTAGGCCTGCCACAACCATGGCTCAACCATTAGACCTGAAACTTGACCGAGTGGCTCAGGAAGATCCGAGTCTGACCTGCCATATGTTGAATGGAGTATATGAACAGCAAGTTTTCTGGCCTTGGGCTGACCAATCAATCAAATTTCCATTGAACTAAAAACCAATTCTCCGACTGGTACCAGCGCTCCATGCCCTTGGGGGTTGGCTTACCTAAGTTTTAGAAGAAAATTATAAGTTTTTATTTCCATTAATTTCTACATTATTGTTTTGGCTATTTATTGAACTCGTATATGAATTTAATAGGTTTCATTATATTCTTGAATATTTAGACAGGGGCATAAAAATATTACTTGCAAGTTATAAATATTTGAAGAAAAAAACTTGATAATATCATAAGTATTATATGTATGTTGTTTATAGATTTGTACAAATTGGAGATCGAGTGGTAATATAGAAAAAAGAATACTTAAGGTACATGTGCTTCCAAGTCTGGCATGTAACGTGGGGCATGAAATACAAATTTGATTCTCTCTTTGTGCTGCCTTTTTTAATGATAGTTGTTGCTTGGATATCATATGGGATTGCTGCACAATCAACCTTTTCTAAAAACAAATGCATGGAATTGTGAAAGAAACTTTGCTGACATCGTTATTGATTGTTTGTAGATGAAGACTATCATTACAATCTAAACCTAAAACCAGTTAACTTACTTGAGAAACAAAATTAACATGAAAAACCTTTTTAAATGATTATTTACGAAATTGCATTTTCTTATAGAAGACGCAAATGATTATGTATGTTTTTACAGTTTTGTTGACGTGTCTCCTAGAGAACTTTAGTACCTTTCCGTATATTTTAAGCAGTACACGGATTGTTAAATACTAAAATGAAGAAGTAAAAATAATGAAAAGATACAGGTGATATGCCTCTAGGCCACATGTGAACACAAACACAAACTAACCAATAAGGGTGACGCGTGTGTTGACGCTCAACGAGTGTATATTAAAATGATATATTTAAACACTTATTTAATCAATGTTAAAATATACTCTTTAAGTGCTTGACTATAACCCTTTAACATATACTCTTTTAAGTGATTGAAGATGAAATCCACACGTATGTATCATTACGTGTATGAGGATGTAACACGTCTTTTACACGTACCAAGTGTATTTTTTTTTTCTTTTTAGATAAATCTTATTCAATGTTCTCTCAAAAACTTTTTTGTTTAATTTGATCATTTTTATGTTACGCGGATAAAGACGTGTCACATTAATTACACCTTTTAGATGGTGTGCCTCGTTTCATTCTCTCAAAATTTTTTGTTCAGTTTGATCCTCCAATGCATCCTTCATGTGTCATGTGGATAAAATATGTCATGTTAAATTTGCTTTTCGTAAGATAGGACTAGCGTCGTACACATTCGTATGCGTGACATTAAAAATTATTATTCAATACATAATTTTTTGATGTTATTTTATAAATAATTAAAGTAAATGACATTTAAATAATAAGTGGAAGATTTCGAGCACTTATTTCAAGAGAAAGAAATAAAATATAAATAGCCATTCTTGTTTTTTTAATTATCATGTATTTTATTTATAAAAAAATTATATCTAATCCTTTTCTCGTTACAGTTTTAAATTATTCTAAAAATACTATTTTTACCATGGTGGCTGAAACAAATTTTGATTATGTTTATTTTTTTTATATGGAAGTATTAAATTTTAATTTCTCTTATACTATACCGTATCATGCAGTGCTGTGTTCAGTATTATATATATATATTATAAGATTTTTAGTTTATAAAACTTAATTGGATGCTAATTCAATTAAAAAATTTCAAATATATAATTTATTTAATAATTTTAAAATATTTTTATTATTTTTATGAACTATGTTTTAAAAAATAATTACATGAAATTAAAGAATTCTCTCAAAGAATTTGAAATCTCAAAAAAAATTATAGATAACTTGATTTATATAAAATATATCAAATAATTTATTGTAAAAAATAATGCTTTTTATGTGAAAAATTATAAAGTTAATATATCACATAATTATATATATATATATATATTAAGGTGACGTGTATATTTCATCTGACAATGCAAAGTATCTTGCTGTGTAAGAAGTCCATGTGAACTGCTGTCACCACTTGTTTCTCTTTCATTCTTCTGATTTCTCAGTATTTAAATAACGGTCGTATCGATAATATCGTAATTTTTTTTATGATTTTATTAGTAATATTGTAGTTTTTCAGAAATTAAATAATGACGGAAACTATAATATTCAATTAGTTATTTTGTAACAATCCTGGAAAATGGACAAGTCTTTATGACATAAGCCAATCTATCAGATGATTTTCACTTCTCTGTTGAGTCGTGGATGTATAGATTCGGTAACAGTCGTGGAAAATGGTCAAGTCTTTAGGTATTTTACCGAAATACCACTCTTAGATCAAATAATTACCTGTCAGGTCTCGCCCCTAAATATTACCGTTCTAGCGCCTTTCTGACACGGTGGTAATAAAACACGGATCGTCATTCGCGACTTCACGGGGTTCTACACATACGGAAGGCGCATATCATTCCATTATGCACATTGGATTATTGATACTTATTACCCGAGCCTGAAAACTTGGCTTTTAAACGCTCCCCCTAAATAACAACCCCTTTGAATGCAAACATTATCACACCAAAATTACTTGCTTATTCTCATTTCTATCAATTCCTTCTATCAAGCTAAGTAGATTTTGTTATTGTTTTTATAAGGTAAAATTATTTTTTATTATATTATATTTATTTTTATTTAATTATTTGGATAAATTTTATTGTATTAATATTTTATATTATTTTTTGCGGTTATAAAATTGGAAAGCAAGATCATACCTCGAGACATTTTACCGATACGGTAACATATGAAATTGTGTTATTTAAATTATTTTGAAAATTTTAATTTTTTTTTTGGATTAGTTTATATTTTAATTCATTTATTTATTTAATTAGACGTATTTCATCTATTTTTGTTTGCAGATATAAGACTTTTAATCTTTCAAACTCTCAAAATAAAGCGTATTTAAGCTATTGTTTATTATGATGGAGAATTCGGGAAGATGAAACCGACGTCATCTTCGCATCAAATTATTCTGTCAGAATATCCTTCAAGAGAAACATCACTCTTGAGGAGCTGATCACTAAATTTTCAAGGAAAGTTCATGTTGAAAATACTAGAAGCTTGTCCTCACTTCAGTACATATTTCCAACCACAATATTTCCGTTAACTTATATAGCGTTCTAACTCTCCAACGATGACGATGCTATGATGGTTGATTTCAGAATCAATATTCAGACGTTGATACATAGATGTATGTGACATTTGTTTAAGTGTTTGCGGTTCGTGGTATGTCATTATGCTCCCACTATGGGCTGATTCAACAAGCTGATCAAATTGACAGCCCAACTCAAGTAATGTGTAATGATTTAATTCATTAATGGGAAATCCACATCTTGGTGCCATTCAATCAAGTTCAATGTGGAGACATTCATCAGCAACTTGTTACAATTTGTACCGAGATGGCTACAAACAATCCGTATAGCAAAATCATTTCTAGTTCAAGGGGAAGACATTCATCTTCCAATTTTTGTGCAATACCCCATTGACACGATGCCTTCAAGTTCCAATGGGAGGCATTCAACTGCAAGGTTCTTCGACCTCAATGTAGAGATGCCTTCAAGTTCAAAGGGAAGACATTCAACTACCAGCTTGTTCTACTTAAATGTCGATATCGTGGAGGAAATCTCATCTCCAACAGAAGAACCTCTTCGTGAGCCAGGTGCGGATGGTGCTGAGACTGGACTATTCGTTCAGCTAGAATCACCGCAGTTCAACATGGACTCTAATGATAATGATGTAGATAAATATCCCACAAATACGGTACACACCAAACCTCCAACACATGTATGAAGATGACTATGGTACAATGTACGAGCCAAAATTTGCAGATATGCCTAATGTTGGCGATTACAGATTTAACTCATCAGTCAATGATGGTGAGTTATATAAAAGAATAAAGTTTACATCCAAAGAAGAATCGATGATGGCAATTAAGAATTACAACATTCGTAATTCTGTTTAGTCCAAAGTCAACCATTCCACTACCGAAAAGTATGTTGTTGTCTAACGTGATAACAGATGCAACTGGATGGGATGGTTCATGTATCGAAGAGGAAGAGGAAAAATAATATATGAGAACTAACATTATACAATGGTCCTCACACATGCTGTGTTAGAGGGATCAACCAGGATCATCCCAACTTGAACTCTGACATTATCAGCCAAGCCATCATTCCCATGGTCAAAGTAAGCTCCTATATAGCTATTGTGGTGCTGATTTCAGCTATACAATAGCAATATGGGTACACTTTCTCATACAAGAAAACATTGAAGGAAAATTAGAATAGCATTAAAATTCTTCACGGTGAGTGGGATGCATCTTACAACGAATTACCAAGTTGGTTTAGGGTAGTGCGCAGATTGAATCCTGGGATAATTGTTGACTTTGAACTTGCCATGCATACCATAATGATCGAGTGCTTCGCGATCGATGCTAATTCTACCGGCTTTTTTGGACTTACCCACAGTGCATTAAAGTTGTGAAATACTACAAGCTAGTGGTCCAAAATCGTTTGGACATTCTTTTACGAAAAATACAAGCAAATTTTACTATTGACAGTTGTCCAAGATGGTATCGCAACATTCTTCCAGTTGTTTTTGCCCTTGTTGAAGGAGAAGATACATATTATTGGGTTTTTTTCCTCATGAACTTACGCTTACAGTGTAACGAGGGAAAAACTGTGTCGTTTCAGATCGCGAAGCTGGGATCAAAGTAACAATGGATTCTTTGGGTCCAATTTAACAACCACCCTATGTCCAACATCAGTATTGTATCTGACACATTGCTACTAACTATCATGGAAAGTTCAAGAAGAATGATGGCGCCAATTACTTATGCGCATTGGTATGTCAAAATTCCTAATTTTATTTCTCAATCATTTTATTTTTTTATGAAAACTTAAAAGTAAGTTTTACATTTGACGCTTAGGTTACAAACTCTTGCCTGAACATTTGAATCCATGTTCGAGATTTGCGAGGAAGAACGAGGAATGATACAATTACAACCTCATTAACAAAAAATATGGACAATACATATGATGGTGGATATCGATATGGACACATGACGATCAACTTGGTTGAGACTATTAATTTGACCTTAAAGGGGGCACGCCATTTACCAGTAACGACTTTGGTTAAAACAACGTACTTTCATT